AGGCATAGGCTACGGTTTGCCAGCTAGGGCATCCGAGCGAAGCGACGCGGACGGTCAGTCTCGTTTACGAATCGTGCATAATCTATATAGATAAATAAAATTAAAGTATTTGTTTGTAACGTCAAAATAACATATTTTTACTAAATGCATATGAAATTATATACGGTAGGTACTTATAAGAAAAACACAACTTTTAAAATATTTTGTCTGTCTATTTGTTCCGTCTAACCTCCGAAACGGCTGAACTAATTTTGACTTTCACTGGTAGATAGATAATATTATAAGGTGTAATACAGGCTACTTTTATTTTAGAAATAGAATTAGGGTTCCACTCAAAAAAATTAAAACTTACTTAGTGATGCACCTGAGCGAAGCGATGATAAGTCGCTAATATATACTAGTCGCTAGTATATTCATTACTATTTATATGCTCTATATATATAAACTTGGTCCTGTCTGACTAATGGATCAACGTGCAGCCTAAGCCGCTGGTTGTAGAAACAAAATTTGGAGGGTGTATTTCTCATAGATTATAGGCATCCGATAAGAACGGATTTTTTAAAATTTATCCCATAAGGTGGTAAAATAGGGGACGAAAGATTGTATGAACTACGTCATTCTTAATATGAAATACATGAAAAGTAGTATTTAGCTGTAAAATAGAAAATAAAACGATACATAATTATCAGATTTTTTCAAATTCATCCCTTAAAGCGGTAAAAGGGGGTATACAAAAAATATTTATGATCAGAATTACTTGAAATTTGGTATTGATGTTCTTTAATACAATTAAATAAATACGCGCTTTACCATTTTTCAAAATTCATCCCAAAAGGGGGTAAAATAGAGGTTAAAAGTTGGTATCAATCTCTGTAATTTTCCTATGTGAAATGCACGGAAATTGGTATTTTATATAGTGTTATAAAGAATACGACTTTCCGTGCATTTCACAATACGTATATCAATTTTTTTTTCAAAATTCATCCGTTAAGAGTCTAAAAAGAGTTGTATTTTTTATAAATATGGGTAATATTTTTATGATCAGAATTACTTAAAACTATATTAATGATCTTCAATACAATAAAATAACGAAATGTTTTAGCACTATTTGTAATTTTCCGTAATGAAAAGGAAAAAAAAATCCGGATGAAAAGTTCGTGATTAAATTCTAACTTCCTGTTCGTGACTTTCTTAGCATAGTTTTTTAGGATTCATAATAAAAATAAATAAACCTTGTTTTTAACATCGATTGTATGTTTAATCCGTGCAATAGCAATGCAATCTTGCATTATAACGCGTTGGAACTGATATGGCCGGACCATTCTATACTGTAAATCGTAAAGGCCGCGGGGCCAGATTAATGAAATGCTATCTATGTTTATTTATCTGCCTTCGTTTTAAATGTTTACACTTAGAGGCCGTTAGTGACCTCTCTAAAGATGCCTTCATTATGACTTTGCATAGGTTTGTTTCGCGCCGCGGTAGGCCAACGGAGATCTATTCCGATAACGGACGCAATTTTGTAGGAGCGGCAAGGGAACTTAGTAAATTCACCGCTATACAAAACATCGCGTTGACTGAGTTTACAGCTCAACAAAACATTAAATTTAACTTCACTCCGTCTTACGCTCCTCACTTCGGCGGCATATGGGAGGCCGGTGTAAAATCGGCAAAATATCACATTAGACGGGTCATGGGGAACTCTCATTAAAATTTCGAAGAAATTTTAACTTTGTTTGCACAAGTGGAAGCTATTTTGAATAGTCGTCCCTTGTGTCCATTATCCACATCCCCTGACGATTTCCTTTTCCTCTCCCCAGGGCACTTCTTAATTGGAAGACCACTAAATGCGCTGCCAGCTCGCACCTTGGAGAATGAAAAGGAACCACAATTAAAACGCTACGCACGCCTCGACCAAATTAAACAACATTTCTGGCTGAGGTGGCAAAAGGAGTACATCTGCGAACTACAAATACGAACCAAATGGAAAACAAATAAGGCTAAACTGAAGGTTGGAGATTTGGTGCTTCTAAGCGAAGACTCTCTGCCACCGCTATGTTGGAGTACTGGACGAGTGGCCAAGCTGTACCCGGGGCTAGACGGGATTTCTCGCGTTGCGGATGTTCGGACCACTACGGGTTGTTATCGTCGCCATCTGGTTCGCCTCTGCCCCTTGCTCAACGATGAAGACACACAGTTGAAGAATTAGATTCTTCAACGGGGGGAGTATGTTAAGACACGTCTGACACTTTATTGCGTGGCAACTTTACCATCGCCCACATCGTGTGGTCCGTGCCTAATTAGACGGTCATCGATGTGAAGTGATTTGGATAATCTGTGAAATCAATAGACAATATAGTGAAGTGACAGAACGTTAGCTATATAAGACAGTGATTTTATATTAAAACCCCTTATTCTTATTCTTATTCGTACTCTTATAACCATTGTTCTTGTCGTCATACTCAGTATTTTGTGGCTAATCAAATACAGTAATCCAAAGGACGACATCTTTTATTTCACAATCTCTTCAAATATAATAGTTCGTTTCAACAAAAATGAGACGAACACCTTTCTACATGCAGAGATCTATTTCCAGCGAGAAAATCCAGTAACACTCAATAAAGTCGTACGGAACCTTCCCTGTATTAATGGGGCATATTAGAATCACTTGCACATTCCATACAACTCTCAACAATCTCCCTGGCCCTGGCTGTATTCTAATATTGGTATTTTTTACTAAAAAATATTTATAAATATTTTGAGACATTAACACACAGCGCCATCTAGTTCCATGGTAAGCTACGAGGCTTGTGTTATGGATACCAGATAGTTGATATACTAGATATATAACTTAAAATACATACATATTATAAATATAAACACCATAACTGGAATAAAAACATTCGTGTTCAACACAAATGAATCTCAGCGGGACTCAAACCCGCGACCGCTGGCACAGCAAGTAGGGTCACTACAAACTGAGCCAAACGTGTCGTCATATAATATATATAAATATCCTAATATAAATTACATAATTCAAATCTATGTTTATAAATAACACCAATAGTGTTTCAGGAAAAACACTCTTGCGCACACTCGGATGCTGGGTAGGCTGTTGTTACATAATCGATCTGTTTAAATGTAAAACGTCTGTGTGATCTTATAATGATCGTAATTTGTTGTCACTCTTACGATTTACTCAACCGTTAATTTATTATGCTTAGACTTATTATCGTTTATAGATACGTCCTCGATTTATTTAGACATGTCTTCAAGTATCTTTTTACCGAGGGATGAAAAGTAGCCTGTGTTGTTCAGGCTAATTTTTTTTTATGCACAAGTCGTTTCAGTTGCTCTTTTGTGAAAGTAGGACAAATCTACAGACACACTATCGCATTTATAATAATAATATTATATAAGGATTATACACAGAATTTATTATTAATATATAAAATCATGTGACACAGTAATAAATTCTAATTGGCATTTTCATGTACCTACTTTGAAAACTATAGATTTATTGTTCATGTTAATATTATCTTGTATTTTTTCTACTAAAGTACATAAGTAAGTTTTGCCAGATTATATAAATATATTAATATTATAAAGTTCAAACTTTCACTTATTGGCAATACTTGCATAAGTCTTTAATATTATAATTACATATTACAGTTCATCTGGTTAATAAGGACCGCTGGAATCTGGATACAATGACAATGAGTTATTGAACTGGGACGAAAAATCTTTTATAGTGGAAACTAACAGTGCCCGCGGCTCCGCCCGCGTTCAGATGACCAAAATCCAAATTCTTAGGTTTTACATATTAGTATACTCTTACAATGCAGTTTTTGTATTTTTTCTCAGAAATGAGACATTTTCCTATATGTTGACCCGGATAACCAGCTATCGCCATACCAAATTTCATCAAAATCGCTTAAGTGGTTTTTCTGTGATGCGGTAACAGACAGACAGACAGATAGGCAAAAATTCTAAAAACTATAGATTCAGTCTCTGTATCGATAATAATGTTTATTTCAATAAGATTTTCCAAAAAATATTTAATGTATAGATTCGGCTTAGTTACAATTTTATTATATGTTTAAATATGTATAGATGACAGATGACAGCAGGAATAGTTAAAAGATACGTATGTATCTCATCACTAAAATATTTTTTTCAATATATATACAAAGGCTAAGCATACGTGTTAAGGAGTTAGGAAGAATCACCTGTAATAATGATTAGATATTGAGTATTATTTAGTAACCTACCTATAAAAAAGTGAAAATATTTTGAAATATTTTAATAAGTCAATTATTGAAGGAAATTTAAGATTTAAATAATTATTTTCAATACATTATATTTTTCTTCAAAATAATATTAAACCAACGAATTAGTCGAGTTAGATTTTGTATTACGGTATTACTACGTATAAATCATCGTTTTACGTTTATCACTAATATATTTAATTTAATGTCCAATATCCTCTACGATAAAGTAAGAGATTAATGATTGATTTATAGCTCTACCATAATTACTACATAGCGAATGCACTTATTTTACAAAAAATGAAGTATGAACGTTGGTTTAATGATGTTCTTTCACCATTATGCAAATTGAAGTGATCGTCGATGATTTTTTCTAAACAACAAAAAAAGTAGGTGAGACTGTACCAAAATAACACTTTCCGAGATGTCCTAAATATAGTTTGATAACTTGATATTATACGATAAAACACAACGTAACAAGAGCGGGGATTATTTAAATAAAAAGTAAAAACCTCACCACTGACTGGAGAGAGTGACAGCGAACGCGCTACAACGCACGCGTATTGCCGCCTGTGAAAGTTGACATTTCAAAACAATTTTGGCGCCATTTTCATTGAGCATAGACAACTAATAAATTTTATCGATATTTTTTATGAATTATAAATCGATTTTATTGTGATATTGTGAAGGATTGTGTTGAATCGGGTGTTAAGTGACTTTCGCTGATACAGGATGACTAACACGCGTAATATCAAGGTAAGGGAAATTTTACTTAAAATTCAAAAGGCGTCATCCTTATCCAAATAATTATAGAGTTTTTGAATTAATTAAAGTAAATGTAATTTAAATTAATAACTTCTCTAATCTATGCACAAGTTGAGTTTTTAGAAAACTCGCAATGTGTCTATTACTTTTGTGTGTAAAAAACTTATTTAATTTCGTACAACTGCATATAATAACAAATTGTGCAATTACGAAAATAAAATTAAAACTAAATTTATTTTATGATATAATATTTTCGTTTATAAAATAAAATTATACCACTAAGACCCATTTTTAACTATAAAAAAAAAACATTTGTGCTTTATATGGCGATATGTCAACCCGCACTTTTTTTTTTTTTTTTATTTTTTTTTTTTTTTAGATGTAGTATATTAGCTATACTGTATGTATACAGTACGAATTTTTCATCTTAGAGAACCTAGAAAGTTTTTGAAAGACATGTGAAGTCCGCCAACCCGCACTTGGCCAGCGTGGTGGCCTATGGACTGATCCACCTCATATTGAAGGGAGGCCCGTGCCCAGCAGTGGGACGTTAAAAAGGGCTGAATACATGGTTAAATGTATCGCTATAGTAATTTCATTAGTTAATAGCATAACACTATTATAAGTTAAAGTTAATTAGAAGAAAAACTCAGTAAAAATTTTTACTGGGTTCAACAATGGTTTCATCAAACCTAGTCGTTCATTGTTTTATCGTTTAAGTTACTTTTTCCGCCACATGACTGTAAAATTAGAAACTTCTGAAATTCTATTGATTCCATTGATTTGTGCATATTCTCTAATAAGGAGAAAATAATAATCTGTACTATTATTATATTTTAGATTTTGTTATTTGAGATTATTTTGAAAGTACTTATATACTTATTTAGGTATTTCATTAATAAAGAAATATGGAAATAAAAAAATAGATATCCTTTTAATAAAATTTAATAATTTATTATGAAAATATAGTACTTTCTAGATAAGTTATTATTAATTTATATCAGTAAACATAAACATATGTACATATAGTAAATATAAAAAAATAGTTATAAAAATCTATTTTTATGTAGGTAGTAGGTACGTATTTTATCTTCTAGATATTTTTTTACAATACTAGTTTTAATAAGTCATCTTCCATTAATTTAAAAAAATCAAGTAGGTAATTAAAATTGTATAGTTATATCTAATATTCATGTGTAAATCTATGTATATAATAATGTAAAACAAAGTCGGGTTTGTTACAACACTTATAATTCGAGAACTGATGGACCAATTTTTATGATCTTTATTTTGTTGGATTTGTCTTCACTCCGAATAGCAGAATAACATCGAAACAATTTACTAAAAAATTTAAAAAAAAAAAATCTATTCCATACTAAGCGTTAAAACGTATCTAGGGACGAACCTGAGCGAAGCGATGATGAGTCGCTAGTAATAAATATATACTGAAATGGACTCGAACATATAAAAATATTTATTCACATTTATTGATTTGAACGTGCATACAATAATCGATTTGAGTAAAGTTTAATTTGACGACACGTCTGTAGTACTTGCAGTGCCAGCGGTCGCGGGTTCAAGTCCCGCTGGGGGCATTCATTTGTGTGATGAGCACGAATGTTTGTACTCCAGTCAAGGATGTTAATATTTATAATATGTATGTATTTAAAGTTATATACGTATATGTAGTGTATCAACTATCTGGTATCCCTAACACAAGCCTCATAGTTTACCGTGGAACTAGATGGTGCTGTGTTTTAATGTCCCCACATATTAATATGTAATTTAAGTTTGACTTTGATTAAATATTGTGTTACTATCACATCATACCCATGCCCGAATCATATATATATATATATATATATATATATATATATATATATATATATATATATATATATATATATATATATATATGAATCTCTCACTTTAAAGATATCATTCTACTCTAAAAAAGAAAGTATTTTGTTTTATCATGAATCGATTACCTACATATCTATACATAGAATAAAATTGTAACTAAGCCGAATCTGTACATTAGATATTTTTTGGAAAATCTTATTGAAATAAACATTATTATCGATACAGAGGCCGAATCTATAGTTTTTAGAATTTTTGTCTGTCTGTCTGTCTGTCTGTTACCGCATCACAGAAAAACCACTGGAGGGATTTTGATGACATTTGGTATGGTGATAGCTGGTTATCCGGGTCAACATATGGGATACTTTTTACCACGCGAAAATATCTCATTTTTGAGAAAAATACAGAAACTGCAATATAAAAGTATACTAATATGTAAAACCTAAGAATTTGATTTTTGGCCACTTGAACGCGGGCGGAGCCGCGGGCTTTGCTAGTATATTTACTAAAATTCTAACGAAGCCGAATCTGTAATTAAATCTTCTTTGGAAAATATTATTGAAATACAAATTATTATCAATACAGAGGCCGAATCTATAGTTTTTAGAATTTTTGCCTGTCTGTCTGTGACTGCATCACGAAAAAATCACTGGAGGGATTTTGATGAAATTTGGTATGATAATAGCTGGTTATTCGGGTCAACATAAAGAATACTTTTAACTGCCGGAAAATATCTCATCTCTAAGCTAAACGTTAAAACGTAACTAGGGACGAATCCGAGCGGAGTGAGGGTGAGTCGCTTGTGATAGATATTATAAAACTTAAATGTAACTGAAGAGTGAACCCATTGATCATTGGAACTATCAATCGTTTTTTTTTAATTTTATAGCCTATTTATTAAAGAAAATTCTATATCATGCTACCCTTCAGAGCGGAGCAATAAATAAACTAAGCAGGCCAAATACAATAAACTATACAACAAACTTTCGCTTTTACAAATTTAGTAAGGTTTAAAAAAAACTTGAATATTAAGTATAATAGTATAATATCGTCTACTCAGTTATATTATTTGTTCAAACTATTAATTCACCGAAAGAGGTTTTAATGCAGAACTATTGACTTTTAAATCTCAATTATATTGGTATGGATTACGAAACACATATTTTATTTTTAAAAAGATAAAAAGATTTTAAGATAGGTTTATAAATCCTAGAAATAAATATTAGTTTTTTTTTTAAAAGAATAAAAGTCTCTTCTATAAAGTACATGGTCGTTTGAACAAATTAGCTCTAAAGCGACGAATTTGATTTAAATGTCTATTAAATTCGCGTTATATAATATACTTAATTTGTATGTTTCATTCAAACTGATTGTAAATCAAAATGACACTGAGCATTGAACTCTACATAAAAGGCTATTTACGCCATAGGTGTAAGGTGTTCTTGTATAACGTCACACACTTTCACATTCTGCTCATCTATCAAGTAAGGTCTAGAAACGCTTAGGTGTTTATTGTAGGTATAATGTATGGTGCATCGGTGGTGTAGTGGCTAGCATGTACGGCTACACACCCAGAGGTCCTGGGTTCGAGTCCCGGCTCGGGCTAAGTTTAGTTAGTGACTCTTTCTGTATAGTAAGCCTCAGTAACAGCCCGGAGTTGGGAAGTTGGCGTTGTTTTACCCTCGTGCCTCGGAGAGCACGTAAAGCCATCGGTCCTGCGCCTAACTCTCATTGGTCGTGTCAAGCAGTCGTCCCACCGGAGTATGAGAGTAACAGGAATAGAGAGTGCGTAGACACAAGTACGCGTACATTTGTGCACTATAATATCTCCTGCGCAGGTGGCTAGTCTCAATGAGACTGGCCGCCGTGGCCCAAATCGGCCAGGAGAACATTATTAATGTATAGTAAAAACGACTATTACCAAGTTTTTTTTCATGCTTTATGTTTAAAAATCCAGTATGTATGTATGTATTCAGCCCTTTTTGACGTCCCACTGCTGGGCACGGACCTCACGAGGGGGATCAGGCCATAGTCCACCACGCTGGCCAAATGCGGGTTTGTGGACTTCACATGTCTTTCGAAAACTTGCTAGGTTCTCTCAGACATGCAGGTTTCCTCACGATGTTTTCCTTCACCGTAAGGCAAGTGGTAATCATGTTAGAAATGATTCGCACATGAAAATATCAGAGGTGCGAGACCCGGGATTTGAACCCGCTTCACTCGGTTTCCCAAGCGAGCGCGTTACAACTGGGCTACCACTGCCTTTATAATAAAATAAAATTCCAGTACACAGTTTAATTTACTTACTTAATACTTGTAAAGCTTGAGTTTGTAGTTTTTTTACGATCAGCAGCAGCGATCGATTTTTTAAAGTGCAAGGCACAATTTTGAATTACATATTATATTTTAAGTAGGAAAATTATATTAATCGCTCCACGACCGCGGACACGCCGGCGTGTGTTAGTTAACAATAGATTTCTTAGAAATTTAATTAATTTCTCAGAAATTTACCTGGAGGTGTTAATTACAACTTAAAATCGTTTAAAAAAAAACATTCTAAATATTTTAAGATATTTATTGTATTGTTTGCTAAAACTTATTAAAAAATCTTAAAAAAGAACAATTCGGTTTAGATAATTATAGTAATATTACACGCTTTATGTAATGCCTCGTTGAATGGTCATTATAAAGTGTTTAAGTTCCTCGCTAGTACCAAACGTCTTTATTAAAAATGTAAAAAAAATGACTCAATGGTAAATGTTTAATAATATTTTTTCGTATATTTTAATATTGTATTGCTTGCGTCTACGCATGTACATACCTACATAGAAGTTTGCTACATGCTTTTACCCGTGGCATCCCTTGCGTCGTCTATCTTATCTTATTATTCTCATTATTGTTAAGGGATAGCATAGATGTTTTCAGCTATTTTTAACATTCTTCAATACGAGGTAGATCAGGTCATATTCCACCATGTTGGCCAAATGCGGTTTAGTGGACTTCACGTGTCTTTCGAAAGCTTAGTGGGGTCTCTCAAACATGCTCATTGCTCACGATGTTTTCCTTCACCGTGGTATAGTATCTATACCTATATTTATTAATAACAGAAATACTATTTCTTTTTATTAGTC